GAAACAGGTGGCATGCTGCACAGGGAAATTATAGGCATCTAAGGAATAAAGACTCTCAGGAGGAAGCCTGTTCAGGGAGTAAAATGATGGGCTGACTAAATGATAAGAAAGAGTAAGGGCAGAACTGTGGCTAGGACTGAGTTCTAGTTTCATACTCTGGTTTGCTCTTGGCACCCAACTTGCTGCTTGACGTCTTGAGTGCCTTGCTAACTAAATGACATTCTTAGTTGTAAAAAGCCACAAGAATCATTCTTTTTAAAATCTTCCTGTTCAATAGTAGTTGAGGGAATAAACTTTGAAATCAGACTAAGATTCAAAGATTGGCTCTGCTGCTCACCAATCACATGAGAGCTTGGATACAAGGTTATCATCTGAACATGGTAATACCAACACCAAGCTCTTGGAAGTGTGTGAGAGTTGAAGGAAATAATATATTTAAGGTTTGGCCAGATCATATTCATCAGCATAAATGAATCTGAGTGTTGAAGTTTCCTGAAATAACACTAGCCTTTTCTTATTACAGTCTAGTTCCATGATTCTCCTGCACATCAGAATAACCAGAAGGGCTTGTTAAACACAGATTACAGAGCCCTATCCTCCAAGAGTTTCTCAATCTCTAGGTCTGGGATTGAGCACCAGAATTTGTATTTCTAACTATTTCCCAAATGATGCTGATGCTTGTGGTCTGCGGACCACACTTTGAGAACCACCAGTCTGTCTAATGTCATTCCTGACACCACTGTCTACCCTGAAAATTTTTCATTATAAGACAAATGAATGAACCTCTCCCATAAAGATTCAGAAAAGTTGAGATGACGAATGTGCTAACTAATTTGACCATTACACATTGTATACATGTATTAAAATATAACTCTGTATCCCATAAATATGTGCAATGTTCCAATTAAAAAATAAATTTAAAAAATTTTAAAGACTCAGAAAAGGCTAGAAGACAAAGGAATGAAACTCTCCCATAAAGAGTCAAAAAAGGCTAACATAAAAAAAGTCATCATATTGCCATATACATATGCAGTAAAGAAAAATAAAGCATCTGCTGAGTTGGGAGCTAAACAATCCCTAAAGAGAAAATTTTGGTTGTCCCCTCACCCACTTTCATAAAACGTTAGCACGAGTTTGTTCTGTACAAATCCCAAGTGATTCACTGTCAGATTAAATCCCCACAGAAATGTAGACGGAATGAACAGATGGCCTTTTCCTTTCTAAATACAGTTTATGTGTGTGTTTTATACATATACATATAGCATATATATATAATTTTTTTTTCATTTGAGCAGTAAAACTCACTCCAGAATCACATAGGGCCTAAATGTGAAGAATCTTAGTACATTCATAACGACCACAGTTCTGGGGTCCTATTCACTAGCTCCTTTGATACTGTAAATTGCTCATGCCCTTTTGCATCCCAGTTGGCCATGGATGAAGGACGATATAGTAGATATAAAATCCAAAGCACACTATATACATTGGCCGAGGATTTTCCCATGCTCCTCTGGCTGCCTCAGTTTTTATTTTAAAGAAAAGGGCATTGCTCTTCATTGCATATATTTCTTTGTCTCTCTAACCCTCTAATTGATCCCAGAAGATAAACAACAGCCCTTCACACACATTGGAATGGTGTTTATATGTGGGTAGAGGAAAATTATAAGGCTACTTTATATTAAAAATGCAAACTTTCCTTAATGTAAGTGCTTTAAATGACCCTATTTCACTCTAGGAAGTTTGCATTTACCCTTCCACAAGTAAATGGATTTTTCATCATCTTCAATTGCTACCAGGTAAGAAAAAAGGCAAAAGGACTGCTGTATAACCAGCAACAATAATATAAAGACTTGGTGACCGTGGCAAAATTATACTTACTACCACAGATGAGATGGGTATCTTTAAATGGAGGCTCTCAGAAATAATTTACTACCATAAACTGACTGAATTACAGAAATTTTAACTTCATAAAGTTTCTTTTTTTCATTTTTTCCCACATTTTTTTTCCTTTTTAATGTTGCTGAGCTTCAAAAAGGACACTGTCAGGCACTTTTGGTAGGGTCTTGTTTTAGTGTGTTGCTATAACAGAAATACCTGAGACTGGGTGATTTATAAAGA